TATGTGTGTATGTGTATATGTGTATATGTGTATATGTGTATATGTGTATGTATGTATGTATGTATGTATGTATGTATGTATGTATGTATGTATGTATTTATGTTATATATATATATACATACGTATGTATGTTATGTTATATATGTGTATACATATACATATGTCCATGTATAGATGTTTTACATTACCTGTCCTTCTTGGCAAGCCCCCGCAGGCAAGGACCTGTCCTCTCTGCACCCGAACTCCGCGGGCCGAAGGCCCCGCAAGTGAGCCGGGGTCTTTTGTTTCTGGGCCCAAACAGGAGATTTTAGGGTTTGGGGTTTAGGGTTTGGGGTTTTAGGGTTCGGGGTTTTGGGGTTTAGGGCTTTAGGGTCTTGGGGTTTAGGATTTCGGTTTTTGTTGTGAGTGATGCAGGGTCTGCCCTAAACCCTCAACCGTAAACCCTGAACCCTGAACCCTTTCCCCCAAGAGGCCCCGTGGAAGACAACCCTCTTTGCCGGCGCTTGGGCGCCATGCGCCTTGGCGAAAGAGCGAGGGCATTTGGTGGCTTAGGCTTTCGGAGTTTAGGGGAGGGGGTTGAAGGGTTTAGGGCTAGGCTTAGGCGTTTGGGAAGGCCTATGTTACTGAGGGTCTTTGCCAGGATGACAGCTGCAGAACCGGGGGCACATTTTTCGGGACCAACCATAGGCCATCCGAAGCAGCCTTGCTCGGAGACTGGAATCAATTCAACTGGTCTCTCTGCCCTTTCTGGGCTTGGCCTCGTCCATTCCACAAATCTGTCCACCTCTCTCACTCAATCCCAAAGCTCGAAACTGACGCCGCGTCTCTGAACAGCGCTAGGGTCTATGTACGAACTGCTGTGCTTCCAAGCAGACTACCCTTGCCGGCAGCTTCGCATGCGATTCAGCACCCTGGCAGCGAGACCATGTTATCCAAACAACGTGTTTGATACATGTGGGAAACGAGATGGGGCTTAATACTTAGAATAGGGGTTGTGGTGAAGGGGACATTCTTGCTAAATTTTCCGACCCCACGACATCATAATGCCAGCAGTCCTGCCACAGGCTTTAACATGTTTGCGTGGCACACCTGTCTATCACTGCATCACAAAATCTGAATGAATGGTAATATTACACACCCCCCCCTTATGTTCCTGGTTTGAGTCTAGGATGATCCACTCCAACACCCTGACCCTCTTCTAACTACGTATTAAACCCTAAACCCCTAAACCCCTAAACCCCAAGACTACCAGTAAATAACATGCCATTGCAAGGCTGGGGGCCCTCAGCGGAGAGATTTAGAGCTCTTTGGGGTTTAGGGCTTTTGGGCTTAGCGTCAGGGCTTAGGGTTAAGGTTTGTTTAGGGTTAGGGTTAGGGTTCATTTAGGGTTTAAGGTTAGGGTTTAGGCTTCAAGTTTGTTTGACTCTTTTTTCCGACTGTAGCCGCAGGAATCTCGGTTGGGAAAGGCTAGGGTCTTGGCCACAATCTCCTACCTCATACGCACGAGCCTTCCACGCGGCACCTGCCCAACCTAGCCATATGCGGTTTAACTTTGGGCAACTATACGGGGGTTTCCGAAAATAAGGGCCCCTAATATGATACCCTAAATAGTAGGATCCTTATTATGAAGCCCCGAAAATAAGGTACCCCTTATTTTCGGAAACTCCCATACCACTGCAGCCGTGGAAGAGTGCAGGGGCCTTCCTGACCACAAAACGGAATCATGCTCTGACTCTGAAGAGCATCGCCATCAACCTCACCCCCCTTAGAAGAACAAGAATTGAAGTCTTAAACCCCGAACCCCAAACCAAAGAACTGAAGTCCGAAACTCCGAAACCCGAACCCTCTGAAGCCCATCCTATACCCGAAAATTTCCAGCCCAAACCCTCACCTCAACCGGAACATTCCCGGTCGACCTTCGCCGTGGCTGGCGCCGGCGTGCCCCAAATTAGCAGACGGGCTGGGGCTTCGTCTTCGAAGCCTGGCAAGCACGCGTCGAAGGCCAGGGGCTCCACATGTGGCGGAGTTCGAGTTCAGGGTTTGGGGTTTAGGGATTAGAGAT